TTTTTTCTATCTCATTACATACTTGACAGTTGTTAGAATTTTCCCTGGCTCTTTTTCACCCCTAATTCCTTTGACCATAATTCAAGCAAGACAGCTTAGATCATCATTTCTGCCATCACTGGATATGCTTCTGTCTGAAGATTATAAGGTCGTATAAAGGTAGTCTAAGATAGCAGAGACTTTTCTCACTTCAGAAGTACATTTAAAAGTTATGTTTCTAAAACATCACTATTGTATCTGCACCATAAAGTCATTAAAAATAAAAAGGCTATTTTGAAGCCTATATCTGCATGTTTAGGGGACATATCTAGCTGACTCAATTGGTAGCCTAATCAACTCAACCGGTCACAACTGGCTAAAACAATCAGCTTGTGTTTTCTAGATATCAATGTTTCACAAATACAGAAGTTGCTTAAATGTTTTTTTTTAAACAAATTTGTTTAAACAAATACTTGTTTCTGATTTTTTTTCATATTTAGATAAATGTTGAGGAGATACTTTCTGCCCTCATTCTCAGATCAATAGGAAAAATTAATACTTGGTTTTATATCTCAGTTGTGTCTTTTTACTTGATAAAAAATAAAAATAAGCTTTAGTTAATTTTTAAATTGCCAAGTGAATCTTTAGAGCAGGAGAACAAAAACTTTCCTCTATATTTGCTACAGAAACTATGTTATTAATACCTGGATTAATAATTCAATGGTCTGATTACTCTTACTTAAAATATTTCTAGAATAAGTTACTCCTTTTCTTAATGTTATTATATATAGCCTTTTATGGGGTATTTCTACTGTAGCCTACCACGTTCTTACCAAAATGTTCTTACCTTCACTTTTGACTTCCGACTACAACCTGAATTCATATATGTATAAAACAGGATAGGGGAGGTGTATACTAAAATTTTAAGAGCATAGAAGAGAAAGTAGAAAATTAAATTGTTGAAATTATCCCAGGGGAAAATGCAACAAAGGCCTGAAGAAAGAGGCAGTAATAGGAATAGCAAGACATAAATGGATGAAGATACCTTGCAAAGAAAAATAAAAAATAATGAGACCAATTGGATTTGGGAGATAAGAAGCATAATTTTAAACAAATTTCACTACTGTGGAGATACATGGGAAACAAGTGTCCTTCAGTACAATTTTCTAAGCCCCTGTTAGGGCCTCTAAAATTCTTTTCCAAGAGTCACTGAGCTGTTGTTGGAGTAAGTCCAAAGGGACAGCTGTAATATACACTAGCTCTGGAAGGATGCATATTATCCATTTCTTTCAAAGTGCTGTCCTTCACTGACCTTTACAAATCAACCATGAGGAAAACAGATTTAACTCATGCCTTCAATGAGACAGAAAGACCTTTACAACCCTACAGTAGAAAATCAAGTTCTTATGGCTAGTATGTAGAAAATTCAAATTCCTTTAGTAAGAGTTGCAGTTTATTTTCACTGTTAAATTCATATTCACAGTGCTATGAAAGGTATTATGAAAACACACTCCAATAATTTACTGCATCATGTTAAGACAAAGGTTCCCTAATATGAGGCTCATAAATGGGTTTAGGGAGGATCTGTGCTAATGAATTTTTTTAAAAATAATGACAGATAATTAAGACCTAGGTGAGTAATGTCTGTAACAATGTAGACTTTTGATTATCAGTGAATGTAAACAAGGTGGCTTAAAAGAAACCAGTGAGAACAGCAGAATAAAATGAGTAAAGAGCCATTAACAAACACTTGATTACAGGTTATTAGATAAATCATGAATTTAAAATTTTATATAGACACACAAAAAAACATACAAAATCTTTAATTATGTAATCACTATTTTTCTTAACTTGGTCTTTAAAAATTCAAATTTTAGTGTGTAATTGTAGAACCAAAATTTCTTGGAGATTAAACATTAGTAAAGGTTAAAAAGGAATATGAGGAAAAACAAACGTAGTTCTACAATGTGGAAAATACAAGATACTTCATAATATTATATAGTTTAAAACATACAATTTCATAGTTATAAAAGTTTTCTAGTAAATATTTCTTTTCTCATTTTCCTGAGACAAGGCAGTTTATCATAGTTTCACATAAAACTAAGAACAGGCAGTCAGAAATAAATGGTAAATCAGGGAACTCTAGACACCCCATTTACATTTGCAGGTCAAGATGACAGTATTTGGTAAATTATGATTTTAAAATACAGACTAGAAGAATGACTAATACTTCAAATGGAAAAATACATCAATATTCTGACTTTGTTATTCTAATATAATATTTTGGCTCTAATTCTTTGATTCTTCTTTATAGCAAAAGCTAACCATTCCACAGAGTGTAACCAGTGCTTCAGCTTTAACATCTTTAACACCACCTACAGCAAATGCATACCAAACGATCCTAAAAACACTTTGGAAACCCCTAGAATTAATAATATGAACTTAGTATTCAGTAGCAAATAGAACAATGTATACTAACCCAACGTATATTTGTCCTAAGCCAAAGTGGTCTAACTAGAGTTAGTGGTCTACATACAGATCAGTGATACATCATCCTTAGTTGCACTGAGGAAGAACACGGTCATTTTCAAAGTCTTCCTCTGTTTCAAACTGTTCCCTTAGTCTCTCTTCATCAAAAATGGTTGCCTTATTTTTGTTACGTCATGGCATGAGGACATAGTTCAGTCTGTACTGTGACTCATATTCAAGTACCATTTCTTCTGATACACTAGTATCTACATGCATTAAAATTTGCCTGCATCCCACTGATTAACCTTATGATCTTGATAATGAAGAAAAGACTCTCTGGCATATCAGTCTTATGCTGCCATCCTAGCAAAGGGAAACCTGGGTCAGCTATAGGTTTCTCAGTAGAACCTGTGACTCTATCTTCCTTGCATATTACAGTTTGTTTTGTAACCACAGAAGATTTTCAGTCTAGTCTGGTTCAATAGAGCTAGCTCCTTTGATTGATGGCTCTAGTACACACAATATATTTACCTATTTGCATCCAGATATTTCACAGAAAATCTCTTTTGTTTTGGACTATTATTTCACTTTTGTTTACTAAGTCAACATTTCAGACTTACAGGATTTACCTGTAATATCTGTCAGAAGGCCAAAACACTTTGGGAGAAGAGAAGCAGGGACCAGTCATAAAACTCTATTGGTCTACTGTTTCCAATAGAGTTCCCTATTTCCTGAGGCCAAGTGTCACAGAATGGCAGCTATCAGTGTCTCTGTCTATGATTATATACTCCAAGGCACAAATAATGAGCAAAGCAAAGATTTATATATCATTGCCCTAATTGGCTGTTGCAAGGACAATATTTTCAAAATCAAATGACAAGGTCTGAACTGTGCTGCTGTGATCAAGGTGGTGATTCTGCCAATACTGACAGGTTAAGGAGGAGGTGTAAATGGACTACATCAATTTGCTTTGCAACCACCTGCTGGTAAGTGAATCAAATAAAAAGATTAGCTTAAAATGTGAAGTACTTCTTGAACATGTATTACCAATACTGCACAGGGAGGAGTCATGCCAGTTTTCTGTTGTCATTTCAATTTTAGTAAACACTGCCTGAAAACAAACCTGTTTTCAGACACTATCTACTGAATTTGTATCAAAATACTAGGAACTTACTTTTAGTTTCATTCATCCCAAGGCATAGTCCTTGATGTACCTGCATTACATAATTAAGCAACAGAGTATTCAGCATCCTAGGACACATTTTAGATTACAAAGTATTTAATACACAACCAGGATTAGATTCTAGCCTTGAAAAAACGTGGCTGTAAATGTACTGAGTATCTTTATTTACCATATCGATATTTAGGTCCCCTACATTCTTGTCTAATTATTTATCTATCCTTGCTGTTATCTTTTGCCCCATATCACAATCTCAGCTTATGTCCTTGAACTGATTTCCTTTCTTAAAGGCTATTATTGTAATCTCTTATTATCCTCTCCTCTTATACTATACCTACTACATTTATTGCCATTCTTACAAAAGATACAAAGCACAAAATATATAGTGCATTGAAACTTCATTTTACTTAAGCTGAGCACTTAATGTCTATTTTAATTGGCCCAAACAAGTTTTTTTCCAGTTTTTACTTAATGACATAAACCCATTAGGAGCTCACATCAAGAATGTTCCATTTTCTTCAAATTATATTCTAATGAATACAAAATGTTGTATTATTTGCTCAGTGAATATGTCCTGTATCTACCCATAGATAAAAATACATTTCAAGAGGTATGTTATATCACTGGATAAAAGACATGAAATATACTGAAACTTTATTTAAAAAAATACTTTTTAAATGACAAAGATCAAATAATAACATCATATTCTGATTTAAATGCTTGCCAACTGCCCCCTTTTCTATTAGTAACAGAAGAGCCCAGTATTACTAATAATGAAAAACTCTATTGTCACCAATTACTGACCAACTTTAATACTGATTAAATCATTCTTCTTATGAAAAAAGGCACTTCACTAAAGTAAAACTTGAGGTAATGGAGGATAGCTGTTTGGCAAGCGAAGGAAGAAAGATCTCCCAGAAGTGTCATTAGACAGAGGGCAGCATAATTTTAGCACAAGCATCACCCAGCCAAGATATGAAGAGGAGTTCTATGAATGATAGCAACAACAATATGGAATCATGTTAAGAACAGATATTTTAAAAAATCAGACTTTTAAAGACAATGCACTATGGGTGAGGTACTTCAGAATCCCTTTAAACATGAGAGACATATTAGATTTTCTTTACTTTGCCTTTTCAAACATTTACTGTTTACTCATGCTTGTTATAGTAGAATGTACCAAATCTTATGGAAATTATAGATACTGTACCTTAAAAAAGAACACAGTGAGAATGAGGAACTGAAATGAGTGTAACTGAGTAAAAACAACAACTTAAGTGCTAAGTAAGTAGTATATTTCTGTTTTTATTTAATGATGTGTTATAGTCCAACAGTTGACAACCCAAAAGCATAGAGTCAAAAAATTACTTACATGAACTGCTTCCTTATAAAACTTATCAACATGTCTTTAGGCTATTTTTCCAATTGCTTCACATATTATGATCCATCAGCTAACTTTTGCTAAAATTGAAAAAGGCACAAAGGGAGATGTAAGGAACTTTGAAAATGGGAACTTCAAGAGCTGAAGTTCTAAGCTCTGGCTATAGAGAGGCTAACAAGATAACCCAAGAAAAGGCAGTGACTGCAAAGATTCAAGTGAAGATATAAGGGAAAGTACCTATGTTGGAGAAAGACATTATAAGGGACATTAACAAAGCCTTTTGTGTATGTGTCCAATAACAGTAATTATGTAGATGAACATGTGATGTCAATATCCTGACATGGTGAAAATTCTGAGCGAAGAGTGACTTATTATGGTCCATAAAAAGCACATTAAAACCTCTATTTCTTAAAATCTCATACTAATTTTGAGAGATGTAAGGGGGAAAAAAAAGGCCCAGGGGGAAAAGGTATCTACATTGTCAATACTGGAAGTTGAGAGATTTGGGCATGTAGCTCAGCAGTGAAGTAGCTTGCCTGGCATGAGGCCCTGGGCTCAATCCCTAGCACCACCAAAACAAAACAAAACCAACCCCATCCAATATTGGAAGAAGATTTGCCTTTTGACACCAACCTATCAAAATGATAAAGTATTTTTTAAAAATGTAATTAGAGGTCCTAGTTTCATTGAATAATCTACCAAATTATAGTAATTAGCTTTTTTTTAAAAAAAATGTACTTTTTCATCTCCTAGAATCAGTTAACTAAGATGTGCTTGGTTCCTTTGTTACAACTGGGTTTACAATACTAACATTCCTAACCATCACTAGAATACTCAATAATATCATTAGCTCCAACTAACAGTGCAGTACTTATGACTATATTTTAGTATCCACAAAAGCAAAATTCTGAGAAGAGCATGAATCATTATCCCCAGGGTAAAAAAAATGTTTCTTTGGTCAGAATATGAAACTTAGTACTGAGACCAGCAATTTAGCCTAGGAATTCCTTTTTTAAGTAAAAGGAACAGAATGTTTCTTTTCTTTTTTCACACATTCCAAAACTAGCAGAATTGTCCATCTGTCTGCTTTTACTACTCTCCATATCTGGTGTGTGGTGACAGGAAAACAACCTTTAGTCTAATTATTTCAGTACTGCTCTTTTGTTCTGTCCTGTCAGGATATCATTTTCTCAGGCCAACCTTCACCCTGATCTTTCCCTCCCTATTTGAGCATCTATTACAAAATCATTGTAATAATTGCATAGAGATCATTCTAAAAGTGGATATTTATTTCCATAATGTTAAGTGTTTAAAAAGTTCTCAAGACTCAGGGATTTGAGTACAGATCAGTGGTAGAACATGACTTACTAGTATGAGAAGTTCTGTGTTCAATCCTCAGCACCAAGTAAGAAACCAACCAACCAAGCAACCAACCAACAAAAGTTCTTAGATTCATATTTATATTTCATCTTAAAGATATCTTGTTACTAAACTAAGGAAATATTGATGTTGTAAATGGTTTAATTATAGCTCCTACTTCAAATTTTCCCAATTAAAAAAGTCAAAATAATCAATAATGTTAAGACCTCCTTTAATTATTTATTTTGTTGATACTTCTTACTCCGCTTGAGTACTCAGATGTGGACATTCTCCATGAAATCATCTTTCTCAGTTCTCAAGATTAGAACCTTTAGCATTTTCAACTCTTGTGTGATATCACTTCCACTCGTTGTCATTCTTAAATTCATCATTTTTTCCTCCCACTCTATCACTATTGGACCTCACTTAACAAGCTCTGATATGGAAAAAATGACCTATAAAGTATTCAGTAAGCAAATTGCTTTCTATAAGATACTGGTAACTTAGGTGGAGGGGTGGGTGATGGAAAAGAAAGGGTGAGATACACTTTGAATGAATGAAAAGGATTTCTGACAGGTAGTGAATGAGAAGGGCACCACATATTAAATGAGAAGTAAGAACTATGCCAAAAGCCTGAAAAGCAGACGATGTTCATTTTTCCCATTCCCCATTTTATTACCCACAGTGTCACTAGAATTGATGACCTAAAACACATACCTACTTATACCAATACTCAACTCAATCAGTATGGTCAATCTCTTAAAATCTAGAATATGCCTCACATTCAGTCTCAGCAACCATTTTAATTATGTTCTATTTTTTCCCACTAAGCTCAAATTTTAATGGATTTTTTTGGGTGGGTCGGGGGTAAACAGAATCCATGTTCTTTTTTTTACCTCTATTTCTATTTGCTGCCATTTCAGTCATACTTACCCTTTAAATTCAGTTCTAATGCCTTCTCTAAGGTCCCTTCAGTCTCATTAAATTTGGCTTATCTTTCCAGATGAACTTCAGAGACACTTGGTTAAATTCACTTGGTTAAATGCAAAGCTTGTAGTATTTTGACTGAGTACACTTTATACTAATTTAAAGAAAACTGACATCTGTGCTAGATATTTTCCTAGCCAAGTTAGTATATCCACTTACCTATTTTCAGTGTTCTTTCATAGCTATTTTAAAAAACTATACTTAGTTAACATCTAATGAACTGAACATACTTTGATTTTGACAACTTTTTGTACCTATAAAAGCACCACAAAACACACATTCCATTTCTATTACCCTAGAACATTCCCTCCCTGGTGCCCTTCTCCAATTAATTTCTGTCACCCCCTCCCCAAATAAATTTTTGTTTCTATAATTACATATTAGTCTGCTGACTCTTTAATATAAATTGAGGCACATAATGTACACTCTTGTGTTTGGTTTCTTTTGCTTGGTATGTTGTTTTTGTTTACTTTCTTTTGTGATGCTGTGACTACATTCATGTCTTTAATCTGTCAGTTTTGTCAACAGTTAGTTCTTTTAACTTTTTTTTTTGGTGCTGAGGTTGGAACTCAGGTGCTCACACATGGTAGGAAATTCTACAGCCATATTACATCTCCATTCAGGTAATTACTTCTTTTTAATTGCTAAGTAGTATTCCAAAATATACAAGAAATTGTTTATTCAACCTCTAGTTGTCCAAGATATGGGCGGTTTTCAGCTTTGGCTATTAACATTTTTACATTTAAAAGAAATTCTTTTAGGTGAATACTCTTGATAAATACTTAGGGAGACAAATACTGGGTTGTAAGATGTTCAGAAACAAGTTAACATTCTTTAAAAGAACTGGTTATATCCTGAAAAAAGTCTAATTGCAAGACTGGCCTTAGTGTCTGGAAACTTGAATTTTGGATTTGGGGATGATTTCTTCCCCCACCCCACCCCCAGTCTGGTAAGAGTTGCTCAATGATATATGACAAAAATGTGATTTATGCTAAATACCTGCTTTTGTTTAGGGAGTCTGGAATTTTGGGTTTGTGCCAGGGAGAGGGTGTGATCTGGCCTCAGAAAAATCCCTGGATACTGAATCTCTAATGAGCTTTTCTGCTTTACTTATGTAATATTTCACAGGTGGTTGTCAAATTATTTGCTAGAGGAATTAAGCATGAGTTCACTGGCAAAGGACCCTTGGAAACTTGTGTTTAGTTCCCCTGGATTTTCCTTCACTTACCTTTTGCCTTTGCTGACTGTGCTCTGTATCCTTTTGATATAGTAAGTCATAAAAACATATTTATGAGTCCTCTTAGGAAACCAGCAAACTTAGGAATGTTCTCTAGTTTAAACTAAATGTTATGTTTAACTTTATGAAAATTAGTTCTCCAAAGGGCTTACTGTTTTGCAATCCAACCAGTAATGAGAGTTCCAATTGCTCTGCATCCTCATAAATATTTAGTGGTATTAGTTTTTTTCTTTTAAACTTTAGCTATTCTATTGATGTCTCACTATGTAATTAGAGTTCATTGGTGTTTTGTTGGTTTTTTGGTGATGGAAACTGAATTGTAGGCACATACTCTACCCTTAGCTACCCTCTCTGCCCTCATTATGGTTATGATTTACATACTGATGACTAATAATTTTGAAATATTTTCAAGTGCTTATAGGTCTTTTGTACATCTTCTGTGAAACATCTGAGTCTTCTCATTATTTTTTATTACCTAGTTCATTTAAAAAATGTTGATTTCAAAGGTTCATTATACATTTTGGACATCAATTATTATAAGTACGAATAATTTCCCTCCATTCTAAGGCATTTCATTTCCTAATACTATCTTCTGATGAGCAAAATGTATTAATTTTGAGTAAATCCTACATATCAAAATTTCTTTTGTTTAGATATTTTATGTCCTATCCAAGAAAATTTTCCTTCTTAGTAGTTTAAAAAGATTTCTTCACATAAGTTCTATTATGACTTAAATTTATTTCTATATAACTGATTTCTTTTATTAATTTGGTGACTGGGTTTTTTTTAATATTTATTTTTTAGTTATAGGTGGGCATGATATCTTTATTTTATTTTATGTGGTGCTGAGGATTAAACCCAGTGCCTCAGGTATGCTGGGCAAGCACCCTAACTCTGAGCCCCAGCCCCAGCCCTGGGTTCTTCTTTTGTACCTTGTAATTGATTATTCTTCATAAAAAGGAAAATTGTGCTTTATATATTAATGCTATAATATAAAGAAGCAATACAGAAAATGATTTTTTAACCTTATCAATAAATGTTGAAGATTCTGGTCTGGAAAAAGTACCATAAACTAAATTAGACTGGCAAACTGGGAAGAAATATTTGTAACCTATGTGGCAAAGGGCTAATTTTTGTAATTTACAAATAGCTCAGACAAATTAGCAAGAGTAAAAAGGTTACAAACACACAATTTTCAGGGAAAAAAGCTTAAGTAGACAATAAGCCTAGGAAAATAACAAAGTATACAAATAAAAACAATGTCTGAGTCCCATTTTCTCCCTATCTGATTGAAAAAAACAATTTAAGCTTGATGAAAACCAGTCATTGCAAAGATAGGTCTTTCAGATCATTGGCGAGGATGTAAACTTTTGGAGAGACAATTTGACAATATGATTCAAAAATTAAATACACTTATTCTTAGACTTAGCTGATCTTAGTCCTAGAAGTAAAGCCTTATGGGTATATTTGTAAAAATTAATAAAAAATTAGGCTAAAGAATGTTCACTTCTGCAATATTCATGAAAACAAAAAGTAGAAACAACCAAAATATCCACCAACACAAGTAGATATAGGTAAAGTTGTGACTCTCATTACATAGTGAGATACCAATAGAATAGCTAAAGTTTAAAAGAAAAAAACTGATACCACTAAATATTTATGAGGATGTAGAGCAACTGGAACTCTCACTACTGGTTGGATTGAAAAAAAGTAAGCCCTTTGGAGAACTAACTTTCATAAAGTTAAACTTTTAAACATTTAGTTTAAACTCAAGAATATTCCTAAGAGAAATGATTGCATAAATGAAAGCAAAGCATTCTGTAGAATAATATAGCTGTTAAAAAGAATGTACTGACAGAAACACATCTCTAAGACACAGTTAGGAGATGGGGAAAAGCTGTACAACAGTGTGTTAAAAAAAAAAGTTTTAAAAAGACCTTTGGTTCTAAAATACCGGAATAAAGACTTTTGTGTCCTCAATTATTTCTAAACAAGGAGGATGAGAAAAAGAAAAACACCTTTTCTGACGAAGTGAAAAACCTATAATCCTTAAGCCATAATATATGGAGGCAGGATGAGACAGTGGATGAAAAAAAATCACTGAGCAGAGATTAAGAATACTAAAATTTAAGTGCTTGTAGATAAGAAGAATGTAAATTGTCACAAAACTCCAAAAGAGTTAGGACTGGGAGATTCCTAGAATGATTAGAATTCTAGGTCTCTAGAGAGGTGGTAGCACAATGGAATTCCAGGTCTCTAATTCCAGTTGGTATAGTTAAAGACTTCCCAGCCCTGCAGAAATTAGAAATTAATGTGCACAACTTCTGGAAACACTAAACCCAAGAGGCTTTGAACTTTAATAGGCATAGAAGTAGGCACAGGTAAAGTTGTAACTAAAACCAGAGGATTATATGGAAATCCAGTGAGATCTGACCACCGCCTCGCCCCCCCCCCCCCCTTTATTTTCTTCAGGCTAGCTCTAAAACATAAGGAGCCCACACTGGAGACCAGATTTTCTTCAGAAGGGGATCCCAAACTAACCAACCTAGAGAGAAGGATCATGACAGTTAGGGATTTCAGATGGCATAGTTCACCAATAGACAAGAACTCTGACCCCAAATCAAGAGTTTTTAATCATCTATTACTGCCTTTCAAATATGAATGAAAACTAAGCATCTTAATGCATTTGAAGAAAATTTCCAATATTAAAGTCTGAGACTAAACAAAACACAAGTACTAGCTAAGAGAGAAAGATGATAAAGAGGGAATGTCAAAGAAACTGTAATATTAAATACACTTTAAGAGAAAATACTGCATTCTTAAGAAACCAACAAAAACAAACAGAATAAAATGTAAAAAAAAAAATGTAATCCAAGTTTGAAGGTAAAGACAAAGCAATTTTCCAGATGTCAGAATAAAAAGAAAGAGATGAGTAATAGGAGGGAAAGGTAAAAATCAGAAAAAAAGTCTAATATCTAATTAGTTTTTATTAGATATTAGATATTAGACCAGAAAGTCTAATATCTAATTAGTAGTTCTAGAAAGAAGGATTAAAATAGAGTGGGGAAAATTCTTAAAAAAAAAAAAAAAAGCTAGAAAACTTCCAGGAATTAAAGATCAAGTGTCCAGAAAGGACTTAACTGAATACACAGCACAATAAATCTTAAAAAAGACGCACATCAAGGTACACTACCATAAAATTTTCAAACGCCAGGCATGAAGGGAGAAAAAAAAAAAATCACTTCTAGACAGAAAAAAAGAAATACAAAAATAAAAGATCAGGAACCAGAATGGCACTGAACCATTAAAAAGCAAAACAGGAAGCCTGAAGACACCAAGCAAACAATACTCTAAAAATTTTTAGTAAAAATGACTTTCAACTTAGAATTTTACAAAGTGTCATATAATTATCAGAGTAGAAAATGACATATTAAGGTATGTAAACATCTCAAAAATTTACTTTCCCAGTTATCTCATTACAGAAAGCAACTACAGGAAATGCTCCTGTAAAATGAAGGTATAGGGCACAGGAATCAAAGCTTCTTTACACGGGAAGTAGGTATAAGGAAGTTTCAGGATGAGATCAAAGACAAGTCTAAGGTAACAGCTATAAAACGACCTAGAGAGGAATCATGAAAACTGAGGTACCAGCAAGGATACCTCAGGAAAAAAAAAGAACTGGTTTATCTCACAGGTGACAGTTACTGAGAAGATAAAGATGGATTAAAAGCCTATGGGAAGACATTCAAATTGCAATGGTAACTAGGCAAAATTTTAAGATGAGGCAATTATTTAATTGTCAAGTTGTAACAAAAAATATAAGCCTAAGCAGTATTTACTTCATAGCATATGGTCATAATAATGAAAACACAAAATCTAAGCTGGGTGAAACACATACCTGTAGACCCACTACTACTCTGGAGAATCGAAAGTTCCAAGTCAGCCAGGGCAACTTGCCAGAGACTGTTTCAAAATGAAAATTAAAAAGGCTGGGGATGTAGTTCAATGGCATCA